TATAGTTAATATAATTCTGGAAAGTGGAGAGTTATCCAACTTTGGTCTCTAAATCACATTTTAAATGCTCTGTACTGTAAGCTCTGTGAGATTATGAGGCTGGCGCTGTCCTGATACCAAAGCAACTATAAGAAAAGAAAACTAAAGACCAATATCCTTTATGAATATTGATGCAAAAATCTTCAAAAAAGTACTAGCAAACTAAATTCAGCAGCACATTAAATGGATTATACACCATGACCAAATGAGACTTATTACTGGAATGCAAGGATGGTTTAACATACAAAAATCAACCAATGGAATATACCACATTAACAGAGTGAAAGCAAAAACCCACATGATCATCTCAACTGATGCAGAAAAAGCATTTGACAAAATGTATCACCCTTTCATGATAAAACCATTTAACAAATGAGGAACAGAAGTAAACTACCTCAACACAATAAAGGCAATAAATGAAAACCCCACAACTAACATCATATGTAGTGTTGAGAAAATATTTGTAAATCACACATCTGATAGTAGACTGATATCCAGAATACATAAATAACTACAACTCAACAACAGAAAAACCCAATTAAAAAATGGGCAAAGGGTTTCAATAGGTATTTCTCCAAAGATGATATACAAATGACCAATACATACCTGAAAAAAATGTTCAATATCACTAATCATTAGGGAAGTACAAATCAAAACTACAATGTGATACTGCTTCACACCCATTAGGAGAGTTATTATTTAAAAAAAGAAAGACAGACAAAAACAAATGTTGGTGAGGACAAGGAAAAACAGGAACCCCTGTACATTGCCGGTGGGAATATAAAAGTATAGTTGTTGTAGAAAATAGTATGGCATTTCCTCAAAACATTAAATATAGAATTGCCACATAATGCAGCAATTCCACTTCTGGGTATATACACAAAAGAACTGAAAGCAGGGATTCAAACAGATATTTGTACACCCATGTTCATAGCAGGATTACTCACAATAGCCAAAAGGTGGAAAAACCCAAATGTCCATTGATGGATGAATAGCTAAAATGTGGGATATACATATAATGGAATACTATTTAGCCTTAAAAAGGAATGAAATTTTGATTCATGGTACAATGTGGATGAACCTTGAAGGCATTATGCTAAGCAAAGTAAGCCAAACACAAAAGGACACATATTGTAGGATTCCACTTATACGATATACCTGGAACAGTCACATTCATAGACACAGAAAGTAGAATCACGGTTACCAGGTGCTTAGGTGAGGAGGAAATGGGGAGTTAGCTTTTAATGGCTACAGAGTTTCAGTTTAGGATGATGAAAAAATCCTGAAGATGGATTGTGGTAATTAATGGTTGTACAGTAATGTGAATATACTTAATACCACGAACTACACACTTAAAAATGGTTAACGTGGTAAATTTTTTGTTATATATATTTTATCACAATTTTGAAAAATTATTTTTGGAACGAAGGAAAGGGAACTCAGGTGTAAAGTGGCAGGTCCGTGGCAGGCACTGGAAAAGTAAAACCACCAGCACACAGAGATCTTCTTTCAATTCTCTGTCCATTTGTTCGATTTGTTTGGCTTAAG